CTCCCTCTCAAAAAAAAAAAAAAAAAAAGAGATAGCATCTTGCTCTGTCACCCAGGTTGGAGTGCAGTGATGTTATCACTGCAGTGTTAACCTCCCAGGCTCAACTGACCCACCTGCCTCAGCCTCCTGAGTAGCTGAGACTACAGGTGTTCTGCAAAACCCACCTCAACTTTTTTTGTAGTGACAAGGTTTCACCATGCTGCCCTGACTGGTCTTCACCTCCTGAGCTCAAATTATCTGCCCCGCCTTGGCCTCCCCAAAGTGATGTGATTATAGGTGTGATGACCCACTGCACCCGACAGAGTTTGCCTGGGCAGGGCCCACTAAGAATGCCACTAAGCCTGCTGGATTTTCCTCAAAGACTCAATTGCTAGCACCATTCTCAGTCTGCAGCCCACCCTACTCCTCTCAGGTCTCTGTATGCCTCCAGAGGGCCTGCGACTGTGCCCAGGCCTGCTCGTGTCTCTTCAGGATAGACAGGGAGGAAAGCAGACATCCTGGAATGCCAGCAAGTGCTGTGTTTATTTTCCAAACAATTTTATTGAAATGTGTGTGCCAAGAGTACATGGGCAGCACAAATGAATGAACAGGAAAAAGAAAAAAAAAAAAATCACATGTACAGTAATTTTTTAAAAGTGAAGGTTAATCTTGGGAGATATCAGTTCCCCTCTCCCTCCCCCTGCAGACTTTCAGCGTTTCCATTAAGGTTAAGCCTCTAAGAACCTAGCATTAAAAAAACAAAACAAAACCAAAAAAGGAATACAAGATCTTTTGCAAATAACAAAAACAAAAAACAAAAAATGGCATAAAGGAAAGAGAAATGCCTTCCTGCTCAGATGGGACTCTTCCTAGGCACCTAATTAAGAGGCGTGCTGAGCGGTGGAGAAACACAACTTCAGAGTGTAAGGGTATGGACCATCTGAAAAGGAGAGAGAAGTTTGGTTGGGTCCCGTCTTTGGAGGCTCCCCAAACCCAGGTCCCCTCAATTTTGCACCCATCTCCCATTTTCTGCAGGTCAACTGCAGGGGTCTAGGAAGTGACTGCCCAACGTAAGGCTTCAAGATGAGCCAATTATTATCAATTATGCACGGCATTTCTCCTTCTCTTCCCTCATTCCCATAGAGAATTCCATTCCTATCTCCTTTGCCAGCCCAAGGCAGTGGGCCTCTCCCAGCAAGTGGGTGGGCAAGTTTTACCTGCTGGATAGTGTTGCCTCTTTCCTAGGTAACAGAGTGGCTTTCCTACCTAAGCCAGTCTCTGATGCAAAGAGAGAATGCCACCTCCCTGGAGGACAAGCCTGAGCAACTCCCAAGCTGGCAGAGTGGCAGCAGGTAGTCAGGCTGGCTCTCTCCCATGAGGAGCACAGGCTGCTCTCCAGGTGAGCAGGTCCCACCTGCCCATGTCACCAGCAGTGAGAAGATCCCCGGGGTCCTATCTTAAGGGCAGGAAAGACATCCCTGGCCTGAAGCCAGCCAACCCATTAGGTCACCAGGTTGATGCCTGCAGGACTCACAGATACTCACTTGGGTTTTTCATCTGGTAATGGTTCAGGAAGCCCAGCGTCTCCAGGGCATCGCTCTTGGATTCCCACTCCAGCAGTCCAGAGGAGCTGCGCTCACCTGATTGCAAAGGGGAAAAGCAATGGTTTTAGACTGACCCAATGGGAACTAGGCAGCTGCCCACCAACCACCAAGTAACCAGGGGAAGGATATGGGCGCACTCGACTCACTTTTGCCTGAGAAAACTTTCACAGAAGATGGCCGCTTCACTCCCAGCTCATCGCAGATCTGCAAAAGAAATAGGTAGTAAATGAACTCTGGAACAAAAGGGCCGTCACACAGGATTCAAGCAGACCAGGCCCTGCATGACTCAGTATTTGAAGTTTTCAGGAGAAAACTTGTAGATTTTATCACACACCCTAAAGGCATCCCAGCAACAATGCTCTTTAATTATTAAATTGCCTGAGACTGCAAGGCTGCTGCTGCTTTTTTTCATCTCCCATTCTCAACAGCTATCTGGGCATCCGCACCGGGCTATTTGCTGAACGCAAGGCCAACGTTTCACACCACAGCCAGATCCACTTGAGTTCCTCCTCCCTTCCTGCTGCCTCAGTTGCCTGACTGAGCTTTACAGGGCCCCACCTTCTGATGGTATCAGGGTGATGGCACCCCAAGGCTCTGCCAATGCGGTTCTTGTGAAACTGGGCCCTCATCACTGGGCCTAGGAAGCAGCTTTCCCAGCAAAGAGGAGTTGCTCTGCTTGCCAAAAATGCAAGGAAGGAACGCAGCAAACGATATTGCTAGGAACTTGGTGCCATTCTCACCCTTTCCAGTTTCAGAGCAGGAATCTGTATCTGTCCTGGCCTCTGCTGTGTCCCTAGCACTCAACCCAGGGCCAGGCAGCACAGGAGTTCAACAACTCTGCAAATAGGAGCTAGTTGCAGAAAAAACTGAAATGAATGGCCTACTCAGGCGGCCGTGGTGAGGACCTGACTGCCTGCGTAGTTCCACAGCACAAACCTCAAAGAAGTTCTCCTCGGTCACCTCCAGCGGGGCGTTGAAGAAGTGCAGCACATTGCTGGGGTGCTGGATGCGGTTCTTGGCTGCCTGCTCTGGGGTGGAGAACCGATTGTTCCGGGACTCACTGAAGTCTTTGTAACTGCAAGACCCATCTTCCAACCCGTATGACTGACCGGGCATGATGGCTGGCTGCTTGGAGACACTGCAAGAGGGAAGAAAGGGGAGCCTTTGTCATACTCAAAGTTGTCCCCCAAGCTTTCCCCTGTGGCCTCCAGAGGCTCAGCTTGCCCTATGTGCCTTGGGGCATTGCTCTACAGCTGAGGCAAGGCTGACCCACTTTCTCCTGTGGTGTCAGAGAAACATCTGGGAACACACCTGCCACACCCCATTTCTGCGTGAGTAAACACCTTGGCCTCACCATGCTCCTCTGCTGGGCCCCGTTCCCCTCCTTTTCCCCTGTACCTCTGCCACCCTCCCTAGCCTGAGCACCTACCAGACATTCAGCTTCTGCCCAAACATAAAGTTGTTGTTGAGGTGGGTAATGGCCCGGTCCACAGCGTAGCCATCAGCCATCTCCACCATGGCGGCCCCTGGCTTGCTTTTCATGAATTTCACCTTGGGGAGAGTAGCTGCCGTCAGCACCTCCATCCAGCTGCCAGGATCCCCTCTCCTGCCCCTCCCAAGTTAGTAATAATAACCCCTGCTCTAGCTCTGGGCTCCCATGTCCTCACAGTGAATCGGGACCACTAGAAAAATGTGCCTGGCCCATACCAAGTACTCAGCTCAAGGTGAACAGCAGAGCCTGGGTCATGTTTTTAACTGTGGGACATAACCCAACACTAAGTCATTTAGTGGAGCACGACAGAAAACTGTGCAGGAATGAGAAATCACATCAGCCATTTCCACCATTCTGCCTGTTACACACATGTTGTGATCTATGGATGGCTGTGTCTATGGTCACAAGGTCAAATACTCCTTCAGCTAGGTTACAATGGAGCAGTGCCGGCTCTGGAGCCAGGCGGTCTGACTCTGAGTCCCACTTCACTTAAAGGCTGTGTCAACCCGGGTGGGTTGAGGCCCCCGCCCTCCACTTCCCGCGTCCATCTCATTAAGAACTAATGTGAGAAATTACACAGGTCACTACATGTAAAGCACCTTTAACAGTACCTGGTAACTAACAACACTTCACCTGTGTTATGAACTACTCTAAGTAACGGGCCAAGTCAGGAGCTACACAAAGGCTCCCAAGACCCAGATGGGTTTAATATAAGGAAAACGTCACATGGTTTCAGGTAGACACTTAGCCACCACCAGCCGCAGTCAACTATCCCATGGGAAGGCAGAAGGCCTAGTGTTGCCAGGTCTTCAAGTTTTCAGGAGGAAATCCTTAAACGATAGTGTTTCACTATGATGGGTTCATTTTTATGTTTTATAAATCTATACTGATGTACTAGTATTAGTACTTTTATGTGATAAAGACATTTTTTTTAAACATTCGTAATTCAAAAACAAAACACCCACATGCAGTGAGGACCAAACAAAGCAAGCAGGCTGCCTGGGCTCACTAAGTCCCTCACTCCGGGCCTGCCCGCCCGGCGCCACGCCAGGCTCCCCCTGGTTCTTCCCCCTGTGCTGACTGGCAAGATACAAGGCTCAGTGAGGAACCCAGCGGGCCTGGCAGCAGCTCACCTTCTCCACATTGCCATACAAGCAGAAGACATTGAAGACTCGATCACAGTTCATCTTAGACTGATCCAAGCCATAGACCATGAGCACAGGGCTGTCGGCGTGAGGGCCATACTCGGGTGGTGGGGGAGGGGGTGGGGGGTGCCCATACTGGGGGCCGTAGCGACTTGGGCCCCGACGGTGACCCCCCACTGGTGGACCCATCCTTCTCCCTTCGTAGTGAGGTGGGGGAGGCCCGTAGCCCTCATCATGGTAATGGCTGTGGTACCCACCGTGGGGCCCTCCTGGGGGGTGGGAAGGAAAGAGAGGGAGGACGGGTGAGAATTTGCACGGCGGGCGGCGGGCAGGGGCACATGAGCCACGGGAGTCCACGGAGGGGAACCCCCTGCCCTCACCATATTCTGCGGGGTGATCTCCCAGGAGAGGGGGCTGCCTCTGGCGTTTGTTGGGGTTGCTGCCAGGGTCACCTGTGGACAGAGAAAACAGTTAGGAGTCTCACTCAGAAATTGGCCTCTCTCCCTCCCTCCTGACTGCACAGGCTGATGAGAGTCCCCCAGCTCCTGCAAACTGCAAGCCCCCCCTTCCTCAAGGGCTGCGGGGCCTCCTTTTGTGATCTGACCTATGACGGGCATGAAGCCCGAGCCTCAAAGCTGGTGCCCACTCCTTCCCCCGCTCACACCAAAGGGTTGGTCTTGTTCTGTGAAGGACAAGGCCAGGTTCTGTGCTCTCACCTGCCCTAACCCTGGGAGAAAGCCTAGCTCCCAGGCCCTCTGGGGAACCTGCAGCTGCTACAGAAGGTGATATATTATGGAGAACCAAAAGCAGCTTTCTAAACTGACTCCCAATAAAGGGAGAGTAGATTAAAAACAGGAAAATAACCCAGGAGGGAAGCAAGCAAGCTTGCCCCCCAAAGCCCCCAAGGTTTTAGGAGCTCCAGACTGTCTCTGTAGATTCCTTCTTTCTTAATCCCAGTCCCCACTCCCTCCCAGTCCCGCCAGCCCAAGAGGGACTGACTGTAGGAGCTGACAAGCAGGGCAATGGCAAAATCAGTTCAAAGAAGCAATCATGTACAAGGTATCGACATTCCCACACCCAACAATGGCGCAGATCCACCCGACCCCAGCAGTTTGTAATCACTGCCGTTAACTTAGCGCTTAAGTGGCAGGCACTGGGCTAAGCGCTTTACAGACATCACAGCTTCTCAAATTCCTCACAACAACCCTATGAGGTAGGTTCTGATATTTCAGCCCCATTTTACAAATAAGAAGACTGAGTCATTAACTTTTAACTGAGCAGTTAAAAGACGCTTGGCCCAAAGTCACAAAGCAAGTCAGTGACTGAACCAGATTTGAACCCAGGTCTGGCTGACTCCAAAACCCAGGGCTCGAAACCACTGCCCTTTCCTGCCACCCGGCCTGGGTTTTGTTACCAGTCATTACAAAGATGGAAAAGGACTACTTACAGCAGAAGTACAGAGTACAATGTCCATTTGTCACAAAAAACAAATCTGTATTTTCTCTTACCATTGGACGCTTCAACAGTGAGTTAGCACAGTTCTGAAAGATGGCGTCCCATCAAACATACACTGCGACCCTGCATCACATGGTTTTACAGTCATAAATACAAGTCACGGTACACATCCGCTACAATTTTTTTAAAGAATTGTTTTAAAAGTCAGTATTTTGATTAAATCAAAAATGGCTCACAGATGTTCTGTCCTCAGAAGATATCAGAAAAGTGGAAATAAAGGTGTATGAAGTGGGTAGTGTCCCTCCGTGTTGTCACCTCCTCACATATGTGCTGCAGTGCGGTGGTGCGGTGCTTCTGGCTGTGTAGCGCTCCGTGTGCGTGTCTCCTGGTATGAGGTGTGCCAGTGGCCCCACTACGCTCGCGCTTTTGGCCTTGGGAGCGCACCTGGTTACCCGGCAGCAGGTAACTGTGTGCCTCTGAGCTGTTTGGCTGTCTGGTTTTAGGTCTGTTTTGTTTTTTTTTTTTTGATTTTTTTTGTTGTGGTTAAATTTTTTTGTTTCTGATCTCCAGTTGGTGCAGATTATGTTGGCAGCCGGTGACTGCAGAAAAAATAAAAATATCAAAACAGAAAAAAAAGAAGGCCCTCCCCAAACCAAAGGACTTAAAAAACAAAACCCATATGGCGAGGAATGGAGAGAGGATCCTATTGTCTTGGAGGCCCATGGAATCTACTTCCGTCTATGAAACGTTCTCCGAAAAGAGCACCGCTCGCTGGCTGGCTGGGACAGCTCTGTTCTCTGTGTTTCCTACTTCTGTGTACATTCTCGGGTTCAAGTTTGCTTGGATTTTGACTTTTTTAATGTTTAATAAAAAAAGCAGTGTCTGCTGCCATGTTGCGTCTCTTTCTCTCTTTGTCTCTGTATGCCTCTGTCTCTGTGCTTGTAGCTGTTCCTTGGAGCGCGGTGTGGTGTTCTTGATGTAGTGAGCTCAAGTCTGCAGCTGTTTCTGGGGACGTGGTGGAGGCTGCATGTTCTGTTCTCTCCAGGAAGAGCTAGTGGTTTTCTACCCTGTGTGTTGGTGAGCAATGTGCAGAGGCAGAGCCGCTGAAGTATGGTTCCTGAGGGGTGGCGAAGCACCGCCCTCACTCCAGGTCACCTCATCAGCCCTCGTTTTTTTTTGGGCCCCAGCCTTGGGGCTGCCAAAGCTGAGAGGCATCAAAACCAATGCACAGCCAGCCCCCTGCCACTAGCCCCTGCCGGTCTGCACATCTTCTATTTATGTTCCTTGGAGAAGAAATGGTTGTTGCCATGTTTCTGTTAGCAGTCATGTAATGCCATTGCCCGCTCTGGTACATTCACTTGGTCACCAATTTGCCTCTGACCTTTGGAGGGAGCAGCCAGGCCCACAGAGCCCACTGTGAGGATCCTGGGGAGAGTCTAGCCCACCCTGCCCACTGCTTCCCAGATGCAAGGGCGAGCAAGACAGGCCTGCCTATGAATGGGGGGCTTTGGCCTCTCAGGGCCTGTGCGATGTCAGCATCGAGCCTCCTCCCTCAGCCCATGGCCTGGTCCGACGTATCAGACCAAGACAGACACAGAGATGGATGGTCTTGTTGTGGGGCTGCCGCTGTTTCTCACAGGCAATCCTCCACCTCTCCCTGCTACCAAAGGCAAACCATTCTTGACAGACACTAGGAAGGGGGTTGTCCATTTGGGCCACCTGCAGAGATGTTGCGTCCCCTCTACAAATGATGTGAGGCATGTCCGCCCTGGTCCAATCCAGAGTGTCTCACCTCCACAGGGTCAGCTTGCTCAAAGGCTCACTGCAAGAGCCCGGGAGATCTCATTGCCCCCCACACTGCCACTCCCCCAAATCAGACCCTCTCAACAACGCAGAACAAGAGGACAATTCCTGGCCCAGCAAGAATGGAGTCAGTGACCCTAACCAGACTCTCAAAGGAGCCACTGCTGATTTCTAAGGCCACCCCCATGCCTCATCCTCAGTGAGGCCCTGCTCCCCACCCGTCCAGGCTTCTGCCTTGCCTCTGTATCCTGGGCAGCACCAGAAGGCCCCAAGCAGCAGTGAAGACCCAAGGAGGCCTCTCACGCCCCCTATCCCACTAGGATGTCCAAGAGCTGACCCCAAGGCCCTCCCATGTCCATGGGGAGCCCAATGGCATTACATAACCCTGAGCCCAGGCCTATGAAGTGCACTAGTCGAGTGAAGGCAAGGCAGGTATGTTTAGAACAAAGTGGCCATCAAGATTACCTTGTCCACTGAGATTGGGGTTTGTGTAGTCCCAAGTATCCTGATCATTCTTGAACACATTCAAGCGTGTAGGCTGCAAGGACAAGACAAGGCTTGAGATCAGCCATGCCCCAGCTCACCTGGAAGCTGACGAGGGGCAGTCAGTCACCTCCCAGACGTACCTTTGCATATTCGATCTTCAGAGTGCAACAGCCAGAATAGATATCAGCCCCATTGAGAGAGGCTTTGGCCCGCTGGGCACTTTGAACAGAGTCAAATGTGAGTCAAGTTAAGGAAAGTCGCATCACAGGAGATCTTGGAGAAGGACTTCAAGTTACCCCAGAGAGGGATAAGGACAAGGTGGTATCCTAAGACTGTGGTACAGGTGGAGGCTTTGGGATTAGCTCACTGCCCAGTCACTAGCCTCAGGTTGAGAGACCAAAATGGTGTTGATGGACTCAATGCTGCCCTGGGTGAGCAGTTACTGGCCAGAGTTCTCTCATAATCTGCACCCCCACCCATGGCTACTAGCAACCTCTTCTGCCACACCACCTTCTCCATCTCAGCCCTCTGGCCCTTCGACTAAATCTGAAACAACCACCCAACTACAGCTCTGCCCTGAAAGTCCATCAGTGGCTTTTTCCTGCCTCTGCCCCAAGCATCGTATCGCTGTCTAGGATGCCCTAAAAACTTCTTCCAAACCCGTCTGCCAGCTACTCTGCGATCCTCAGATCTTTCAGTTTCTCCATCCAACACACAAGCTCCTTCTGACTTTACAACCTTTGCAGAGGCTGTTTCCTTCACCTTGAGTATCAGCTCCTATTTGCTCATAGAAATAGGACATCACCTCCTCAGAAACCTTCACACATGCTGCGCCTTTTTTTTTTTTTTGGATATGGAGTCTCACTGTGTTGCCCAGGATGGAGTGCAGTGGCACACCCTCGGCTCACTGCAATCTCCGCCTTCCAGGCCCAAGCGATTCTCTTGCCTCGGCCTCCAGAGTAGCTGGGATTACATGCATTCACCACCATGCCTGATTAATTTTTGTATTATTAGAGACAGGGTTTCACCATGTTGGCCAGGCTGGTCTCAAACTCCTGACTTCAGGTGATCCGCCCGCCTCAGCTTCTGAAAGTGCTGGGATTGCAAGTATGAGCCACTACACCCGGCCCCACATCCCCTTTTAAATGAATTCCTCTTCCCAAGGGTACATTTTCTCACGACCTCTTGAGACCATGTTCCCCAGATCTTGGTCACTCGTATTTGGCTTAGAATAAACATCTTTAAAAATAAATTCCTAGCCTGGCGCGGTGGCTCACGCCTGTAATCCCACCACTCTGGGAGGATGAGGTGGGTGGATTGCCTGAGGTCAGTTCAAAACCAGCCTGGCCAACGTGAAACCACATCTCTACTAAAAATACAAAAAACTAGCTGGGCATGGTGGTGGGGGCCTATAATCCTACTAGGGAGGCTGAGGCAGGAGAATTGCTTGAACCTAGGAGGCAGAGGTTGCAGTGAGCCAGTATCGCGCCACTGCACTCCAGCCCAGGCAATAAGGGCTAAACTCCATCTCAAAATATAAATAAGTAACAAAAAGAAAACAAAAATAAATTCCTTTGTATCTCCTAATACATGCTCTCTCCCCTAAGATCTGCACGTCCACACAATACGCCTCATTCTTGAACAGCCTCCCCACTCAGTCACTGGGCTCTGTGAAGGCATCTGGTACATGGCAGCCACTCCCATGGTCAGTAGACACGTGCTGGCTTAAAGAATGACCACTGTCAAGCCCTGCAAGAGTCCCTACCCTAAGGAACACCTACTTTCCAGCAAAGGATATTCCACCATCGCCTGAACTCCATTCTTCCTGAAAATGACAATTCTCTGGACAGGGCCACAAGGATTACAGATAGTGTAAAGAACATCCTGCACAAGGAAACACAGGCCAGATGAAGAGGCACTGCCGGGTCAGTCTGGCTGAGGGGAGGGAATGAGAGGAGAAAAGGAAGAAGGGAGACCTCACAAGAAATGCCTGCTGGCACGCACCGTGGTGATCGAATAAATGGGGTTCAGGATGGTAAAGAGAAGCACACTGTTCACGCTCCGGGAGTCATCCGAGTCCCCGGGGCGGGAGATCTTCTGGCTGGTAGAGTAGTTGACAAAAGCTGGGTGACCGGCAATGTATATTTGGTTGTCGGCTGCGTAGTTCACTGCGTTGCAAGCCCCCAACACATCTTCAAACTCCACCAGTGCTTGTCTCTTTTTAGGCATTACCACCACATAGCTGGCAAAGAGAACACAGGTTTCAATCCTCTCAGGAAAATGGAGACAGGAGGAGGGTATCATTTGATTTTTTGAGAACTGACTCCTCCACAGCCTCTGGACTCCTCTGTGGCCCTATCATGGTTATGGTTCCCCAACCTGAACACCCCATGACACAAGTAGTACCAAAGGCCAAAGAGGTCTAGCTGAGCTAGACCTCCTCTGGGAAGCCTTCCTGACCTCTCCTCACCACACTAACAGATGCCGCCCATAGGACGGCTTCTTGAGCTTATGCTCTCACAGTGTAAATCACTCTAGGAGAGCAACTTTCTAAGAGAAGGAATCCAGATACAGCTCACTACTGTATCTGCAGTATACAGCATGCACCAAATATTCAGTAACTACTTGCTGAATGAAAGAACACTGGCCAGGAGCAGTGGCTCATGCCACTAACCTTAAAACTTGGGATGGCTAGGTGGGCAGATTGCTTGGGCCCAGGAGTTTGAGGCCAGCCTGGCCAACATGGCAAAGCCTTGCGTCTACAAAAAAATATAAAAATTAGCCAGGCATGGTGGTGCATGCCTGTAGTCCCAGCTACTCAGAAGGCTGAGGCAAAAGGATTGCCTGAACCTGGGTAAGACTGCGCCACTACATTCCAGCCTGGGCCATAGAGCGAAACCTTACTCTGTCTTAAAAAAAGAGAGAACACTGACGAGAAACTACAAGGCAAAGGAAAAAGGAAGGAAGGAAAAAGGATCATGGAACTTGCTGTAATCTGACAAAAAGTACAATGGCCAACCCAAAAGCAGAGGGGCCACAGAACCTAGACCAGTATGGCAACGAAATCACTACTTCCAACCAGAAATCGTGGACACACAAGGGCACCAAGAAGTCAACTCTGGAAGCCCAACTCCTGGCCTCCAAGCCCAGTACCTGATGGGTCCAAACTCCTGCAAGGCCTCCACAAGGTCAGCTTCCACCACACCGTCAATCAGGCCCCTGATGTGGACAACTGGGGAGGCAGGGGTTTTGTGCGGGTCATCGTAGTTCTCCTGAGAAAGGAAGCAAAAACAAGAATTCTTTTCTTGCTGTACAAGATGACGGCCCACTGGCCTTTGTGCTGTTGAAGACCCAGTCAGATAAGACAGTTGGATGTCATCCAGGAAGGATGCACAGAACAGACGAAGGGCAGCATTGAAGTCAATCAGCTCAAAAGGACTCTGGGTCAGCAGAACAGTGGTCCTGAGTGGGTGGTCACTTGCCCTCTGGCTCTTGCTGTAGCTTCTGAGGAAGGCAGATGGAGAGAGGACCACACAAGTTCCAAATATTACGTTCTTCCAGGGACCCCCCTCTCTTCCCACTGGTCCACTTGACCAAGGAAACATGGGAAAAGAGTAGCTGGAGAAGGAGACACACTGGGAGGAAGGGCTCTGACGGCTATCTGCTACAGTTTGAATGAGGACATCCCCTTTGCATGTGCCCCAAATTCCTTGCCCTTTCACTGGCTCAGCCACCATCATCTAGCTAAGTACACCTGTTCGCCACCACTCACACCTAGGTTCAGTCAGGGCAAAAAACAACACGTGCCCCAGAAACTGCGGCAGCCAGGCCAGTCTTGACCCCTTCTAGTCTTGAATCACCCTCCCACCAAAATCTGCTTTGGAAATTACTGCCTAGGTCAGACCAAGGAAAAACAGGACAAGAAAGGTCTCTTATTTATTTTTTGAGATGGAGTCTCACTCAGTCACCCAGGATGGAGTGCTATGGCGTGATCTTGGTCTACTGCAACCTCCACCTCCCAGGTTCAAGCGATTCTCCTGCCTCAGCCTTCCAAGTAGCTGGAATTACAGGCCCCCGCCACCACACTCGGCTAATTTTTTTGAATTTTTAGTAGAGATGGTGTTTTGCCATGTTGGCCAGGCTGTTCTTGAATTTCTGACCTCAGGTGATCTGCCTGACTCAGCCTCCCAAGTGATGGCATTACAGGCATGAGCCCCCACACCCAGACGGAAGGTCTTTTAGAAAGACCAGAAACTCCAATCCATACCATTAAGAACCAAGACTGCTCCTTCCTAGAAGTATCTTACACCCATCCACAGACAAAAGCCTCTGGTCATCAGGAGGAAAATTAACTTTCACCTCTCCTGGGCTCTGGGACCAGCCCCCTGTCTGAGAATCACTGGGCAGAAGAGCGTGGAATGGAGGTAGAATTGGATTCTATTTCAGGAATGAACCACCCGAACCACAGGGGGAGGCACTCCCGCCAGGTTAGCAGCTCCCACAAATGGGAGTTCTAACTCCAGCCCTGCCCCTCACTAGCTGTGCCACCTACAGTAATTCACCTCCTCTCTCTCTTGGCCAATTTCCTCCTCTGTAAATCGGGAATCCCAGTATCTCTCCCAACCTCACGGAGAAGCGTTAAGAACTTTCAATTAAGATGTCTTTAAAACGTGTGGGACAAGGCCTGATGAAGATTAAAACGCTAGCAACTCATAACCCCTAAATCCCAGAAAACCCTGCAAATGGGCTGCACTGGAAGACTTCAAGATCTTGGAAGGAGTGGGGACTGGGCACCACTCCAAAAGCAACGACTAGTGTTTTCGGAGGGAGTGATTACAAGGGATCGAAATTCCAGCACGGCCAGGGAACAGTTTCGTTTATCAAATCCTCGGTACCCAATGAATCCCCGGAACTTGTGATAGTTTCAAAGCTTCGCTCAACTCCTAAAAGGCTGAAAGTGCATTTAACAAATCCTCTTCCCATTTTCAATGTCTACAAAAGTAACGGAGATACTCTGTTCTAATATTTAAACTAAACACATCCATTGCTGTACAGAAACAAGGCTGGGCCTCAGAGATTAAGCTGCCATCGGACGTAATTCCCCACTCCAGAGGACAAGGCCGCCGCCCACCCGTTCCCGCTCACGAGGCGCTCCCCCAACCGCCCACGAGGCCGGGCGGGAGAACTGCGCCTGCGCATGGGGCCAGCGAAGAAAATGATAAAGGGGAAAAAAACCGGCCGGGCCTCGTGCCCGGC